TTTTTTTTTTTTTTTTTCTTTTTGGATCTGAATGAGCTCTGTGATTGCTTTGACTGGTAGAATATGGCAGAAGTGACAATGTGTCAGTTTGGGGGCCTGAGCCCTAATATCAACAGCTTCTACTTTCTCTCCTGGAATAGATATTCTTGGGGTGTTTCCTCTGGGAACCCATTATAGAGGCCCAAGCCACATGTAGGTACACCTATTATCAGGGCTGAGTTCCAAGCTGGCAGCCAACATCAAGTGTGAGACAGCCGACTTGAACAACCAGCCCAGACAACCCTAAAGATAACTTCAGCCTCACTCTCCTATCTGGCTGCAACCACGTGAGAGACTTTAAATGAGAACCACTAAGGTAAGTCCAGTTACCCCAAAGAATGATGAGTGATAATAATAAATTATTGTTTTACGCCACTAAGGTTTAGGGTAGTTATTTATACAACTGGGAACAGGCTCTATTTGCTTTTGCTGAGATCTTTGTGTGGGAAAATATGTTGGTAGGAAAAAGTGATATGTGCATACGTCACATACTAATACATAGTGTATTACTAGGGATCAAAACATGCATTATTAGGATTTATTAATGTTCTATTGGATTTTAGCTTAAATTAAAATATACTGATGATTTTATATAAGTACAGTTTTCAAATCTTGTAAAAGTAGGAAACAATAAACATGAAGTACTGTAGCATCATAATCACATACAAAAGAAAGTCACATATCTAATGCTTAGGGGCATTTTTTGTATCCTTGCAAGGAAATTCCAAGGCACCATGCTCTTCTAGTATACCACCAGCCAACTCCTGCTCAGACAAAAGTAGCAGAATTCAATTCAACCAACACATATGGAATGCCTTCTTGTAGTAATTCATTTAAGGCATTTTGTCAAGTGGTGTGGGAATACCAAGGCACAGACCCTGCTTTCAGTGTGTTTTCAGTCTATCCATGACACAATAGGACGTAGAAGCTCTATTATTCTGTCCTCATTTAACTAATTCATCAGATTAATTAATGCTCTCCATTTCCAATGAAGAGCTGGCTCCTCTCTACAAAGACCATATATGTCTGCTCCCAGGTTGAACTGCATGCTCATCAAGAGTCAGCTGCATTAGTCTCCCAAGCTCTTTATGCCAGGTAAGTATTTATGTGGTTCTAATTGCATAATTTAATATTGTATAAACTGAAGAGTACAAAAGATAGCTATTACTATAAAAATTAAGTTGAATATTTTAGAAAAACTAAAGATTTTAAAATAAATTAACTATTGGATTATATTTAGGCTTGAAGTTATACAAGATTAGAAAAAAATGATGACTATTTAGAAAGATTTTGTATTTGATCTACTTTGAAAGTATTTTAAATTCTTGTTTCCCTGTAGAGAAATTCAAACTAGAAACTGTTGATGATGATGTATTAGGGGTAGAATTTATGCCAGGAAGATATGACAGAATTTTAACCACTGAAACCATACTCAAATAAAATGAATTGTCCCTATATTAGAAGACTTGGAAACAAATGCACATTTATTTATGTTAAAATAAACATTTAAGAAATGCATTGGGTGTGTGTGTTTGTATATGTATGTTATGTGACTTTATTAATTGACCTACTATTGGTTCTGATAGCTGGGAGTCTTCTCCTAGGCTTCTATTACACAGCAAGTTCAATGTCACACAAATGATGACAGCTGCTCCAATTCAGTACAAAGAAACTACTGGGAGAAGAAAGAGAGTAATCCAGAATTGGATAAAGAGGTGGTTCTTGCCTGGCTGGCAGGGCTCAGTGGTTGAGCATCAACCTATGATCCAGGAGATCACAGTTCGATTTATGGTCAGGGCACATGCCTGGGTTGAGGGCTTGATCCCCAGTAGGGAGCATGCAGGAGGCAGCCAATCAATGACTCATTATTGATATTTCTCTCTCTCTCTCCCTCTCCCTTCCTCTCTCTGAAATCAATAAAGACATATTTAAAGAAAGAAAAGAGGTGGCCCTTGTCAGGTTCTTAAAGGATAGGAGAGCCCGGCTGGTGTGGCTCAGAGGGTGAGCATCGACCTATGATCCAGGAGATAGTGGTTCAATTCCCGGTGAGGGCACATGCCCAGGTTAAGGGCTTGATCCCCAGTGTGGGGCGTGCAGGAGGCAGCCGATCAATGACTCATCATTGATGTTTCCATCTCTCTCTCTCTCCTTCTCCCTTCCTCTCTGAAATCAATAAAGACATATTAAAAAAAAAAAAAGGATAGGAGAGATGATGCCAGATGAAGATGGAGTGGGAACATTAGGCCAGATAAGAAAGCTGTACCAGCAAAATACAGTGGAGGCGGTGTAAAAAGCCTCTAAGAGCTAAGAGAACATCAGGTGTGCTTAGAAGTATGTGTACAGGGAGGTGATAGAGAG